GAGGAAAGAAAACAACTGCAGTTCAATTAAATTAAAATCTAATAAAACATTAAAAACTATTATTCATTAATTTGTTTTGTTTTACTTTTTATTTTTCTTTCAGACGAGATAGAAATTGAGAAATAATTAAAAAAAGTTTGAAACATTCAAGTTTACCACTTATTTGTCTTTCTTTAGTAATTTTTATCATCTTCGAAAATAAAATGTAGGAATGAATGTTTCATCGACTCATATACTTTGTTATCAACTGAACACTCTGACGAGTGTTTTTCAAATATTATCGCGAAATAAATAAAAATAACACGTCTAAACGTGAATTCGTTAAACTTGAAACAAAAATTGTTTTCAATTCAGTAATCATCGAAATAAATATTATATTAAGATTAAAGCTTTAGGAAAAAGGCTGGTGCTTAAATTCAATTACATTTCAAACTTTAATAAGTCATAACTACTTAATTACAAGAATAAAGATAAATATTCTCATCGAAATAAATATATCATCAATATATTTTGTAATTCACAGGTTTTTTTATTGAGGATATCAGTCAGATAAGATAAACTATGTATTGTGAGTTATTATGTGTGTACTAGCCTAGGAGCTAATGAAAAACTTGAAGGTAAAAAAATTTAGCCATTCTGCTGATTGATTTTGAACAATAAGCACTAGTTACAGTTTTCTATATTATTTTTGAAGAAGCTAAAATGTTGAAATGGCATCATCAAGTGCAGCGAAGTATTTTTAATTATAAATTCTTGTTTATTTTTTTTTAAATAATTTTTTTAACCCAGACGCTCATTAGAAGAAGGCGAAAATTCGACTTCCAAATATGCAAAAAGTGGAAGTAGTGAGAGTTTTCATGGTACATGTTATCATATAAAACTCATGATGTTGTTAATTGTTCGTGCATACAATGAGAAACGAGAATTTGAAATTGCCTGTGAATGGAAGCAAGCAGGAAAATTGGACGACATCGTTTATAAGTACTTCAAATTACCTAACGAGAAATTTATATTATTTCTGCAAGCAAAACACAAGAAAGGGAATAAAGAAATCGAATTCAAAAATTTGGAAAATGGAGAATATGATCTGATCAAATACTTCAAATCCTACAAAAATATTATACAATGCAGCGAGTTTAGAAATTGTGAAATTCAGGAGTTAGTCATATCAACAAATTTGACATTACGAAATGATTTAATACGCCTATGTGAAGACGCCAATGATATCAACGATCTCAGAAATGACATAAAAATTCATAAATTGAGAAATGTTGATGATTATCCAAATATTGAAAATCTTGTAAAAATTAAAACTAAACTGTTGGAGTATGATGAATTGCGTGATATTGCAAATGAATTGGCATCAAAAGTTGGGAAAAAAGAGAAAATTGCAAAAAACAATGAACTTTTACACACATTCTCTAAGCCATTGAAGAAGTATGTGTTGGATATTTCTGGAAATGTTGGTAAATTTCGGGATGATTTTATTACAAGTGAAAATGAAGTTCTTATGAAATTACGAGATTATTTCATAGAGAAGGCAAAACTAAATGACCTAAACGAAATAAGGTTTATAATAATGAATGACTTTGAGAAGGAAGAAAAATGCTCTTGTTCAAATCATGAAGAAGAATTTCCTATTCCTTCCAGTGATGAAACATTTTTAACTAAAAGAACTCCATTAGTAGAGGATTTTTTAAAAAAGTTTAGATTTTATTTAACACCAAATGAAGACAAATTTGAAAATATTCTCAAAAATGAGCTTGAAAAAATTGATATATTCAGAAACAATAAGATCAAAAATATTGAAAATGTTTATTGCAGATTCCATAAAAATATTTTGGAATGGTTCAAATCGGTGGATAATGAGGGTAAAGCTGAGAAAAAGAATTTGAAACAAATTGCCGACTTCTTTGAAAAACTAAGCGCAGAGTGCTGAGTCCAATTTATGTCACAATTTGTATCTTTACACTTATAATTTAAACTTTAAACGTCTTTATATATTATCTATATTAATATCTAACTTGAGTTTTTTTTAAACTAATGGAAGATATTTTTGCAGTAGTACTATTCTCTCAAAAGCATTTTCTGTCAGTACTTTTTTTCTCAATTGCGTGCACAAATCTATCTTACATCTATATAATAATAAGAA